GTTCTCCGCTTTGTCAAGGGACAATTCCACGAGTATCAGGAGAGCACAATTGGAGGTGAGTGAATACTAGGGAGTTGGGGGATTGGGGACCCTTGAGGAGAAAGAAAGCTGTCTGTGCAGAGACCAAATCTGTCTGGCCTGGGAGCACTTTTTCCTCAGTGGGCCCTGGAGTTGAATCCAGCAGTCAATTTCATGCTTCATTCCAAAAAGCATGACTGCTAAGAATTAGCTAGAGATTGAAAATGACTTCCTGTTTTGGTCCAGCCTCTTTATTATTTGTGTGGATGTGACTACCCCATCCACTGACCTGGCTGGCATCAGGGGGACCTCTCAGAGGGTCCTTTTTGTTCTGCAGGGCAGTATGCATGTCCTGTCCTCTCCTGCTGATCTTTACCCTTTCTGGAGCTCAGAATATGTCACTGATTCCCCATTGGTCAGCATGTAGGAGGTAAATAAGGGTCTGGACTCAGCCTCTGGCATCTGTAGTCAGTGTGACTCTCGAGAGGTCAGGGCCACCCTGGACCCGAGTCATCCTCTGCTCTCTTGCTTGGTAGATGGTTTCCAGGCAGCTGGAGACAGAATGGGCCATGTCAGCAGTCTTCTCTCTGCCTCCTCAGCACTGTCAGGAGCTCTAGAGGGGGAAGTGAGGTGGCGCCCCAGGCTCCTCACAGGGCTGTCATAATCCTCTGCTGGGTCCAGGGTGTGGAGAACCCTACATGTCTGTCCCAGCTCCCGGATTCTCCTGCAAAGCATATTTCCTTCGGTGCCCTGTGTTCCCATCTCAAGTGGAATATGTATTCAAACCACAAGTTGGCCATTCAGGAACGATTTTGGGTCACAGTAAGGATGGGATGGTGGCTGGCTGGAGTGCCTGGAGGTGGCAGGGGTGGTTGGAAAGCCAGTCACCCAGCCACAGCCTGGCAGAGAGATTGCCTTCCTGGAACTGAAGGTCACAGTCACCCTTGAGCCGAAGTGGGTTTGTGAAGGGCAGCGGAAGGAAGGCCAGGGGGAATGGGGTTTCACCCTTTGGGGCTTGGCCTCAGGGTTCCCCAGGGTCTCTCTCATCTGACTCATGCTGTGCTTTGCAGGGTAGCTCTCAGACAGCTCCGTGCAGGCACTTCCCAGACAACACATAGGCCTCACCTGCCCTGTGTGGACAGGCTTCTACATGCCAGATCCACGATAGAGAGTAAGCCAGGTGGTTTCCAGTTCCTCTTTGCATAATGACCCACCTTTTTCTTACAGCGGCTTTCCTCACACAGACTGTCTGCTTAGACGATACAACGGTCAAGTTTGAGATCTGGGACACAGCTGGACAGGAGCGCTATCACAGCCTGGCCCCCATGTACTATCGGGGGGCCCAAGCAGCCATTGTGGTCTATGACATCACCAACACAGTAAAGATTTTTCTTCCTTTATTCCTTGCCCTTCATTTCTGTAAAGCCCCAAGAATTGGGATATAAAAGTCGCATTTATTACCTCTCACTTAGCCTTCTAGTCCCAACTGGGATATGGGCAGATCCTGTTTATCAGGACGCTCTCACGAGAATCTTAAGGGATGACTTATCAGTTGCCTTTGGCTGTGCCAGTTTTTGTTTGCTAGTGAGTGGCCCAGAGTAGAATGTCTCTGTCCCTTTGACACTCTGATCCTGTCTCCTCAGGATACATTTGCACGGGCTAAGAACTGGGTGAAGGAGTTACAGAGGCAGGCCAGCCCCAGCATCGTCATTGCACTCGCAGGAAACAAAGCAGACCTGGCCAGCAAGAGAGCCGTGGAGTTTCAGGTGAGATGGCAGAATTTGGGGAAGGGGGAGCTGGCTCTGTGAGGGGGCCTTCCCAGGCCCCTCGAGTCCTATAAGGGGGCAGCAGCTTTCTTCTGCTGCCCTGCATGACTCAAGCATGGGCCACAAAGGAGCTGTCTTTACGGTGCTCTTTTGTGGGTGGAGTGGGGAGGTGACGCTTCTGCACATTTGCCTTATAAACCAAATGGACTGAGACAGAAGTGCTTTTCTTTTTTTTAAGTTTATGTGCATTGTGTGCAGGTGTCAGATCTGGAATCACACACAGCTGTGAGCTGCCATGTGGGTGCTGGGATTTGAACCCAGGTCCTCTTTAAGAGCAGCCAGTTCTGCTGAACCATCTCTCCTGCCTCAGAAGTACTTTTTAAAGGCAATGCATTCATGTAGTAAAATTTAAATAGCCCAAGAAGATATAGAGAATGAGTTTAGTCTCTTTAATCCTAGAAAATCAGCATCTCTTATCCAGAATTCCCAGTTTTTTGTCTTACCAAAAATGTGTACATTTGTGAATCATTTTCTTTACACAGATGGACGGCAGTATGCCATATACCACATACACTGTTACAGTTGTCATCCCTCTGTGAGAGAGGGAAGGAGGGAAGTAGAGTACTCCTGTAGCCCGCAACCTAGGCTGTTGGCCTTGAACTGATTCTTACTCTTACATCCTGAGCCACCACACCCTGCTCTGCAGTTCTTCCTTTATCTAACTGAGGGCCTCCTAGGTTGTTTGTAACAGTTGAGAACTAGGAACAGTGCTGCAGGTAATGTCCATGTACTCATGTACTCATGCTTTTGTCCAGATATGCAAGTATAGTTGCAGGGTATCTTTCTAGAAGAATGTCTTGCCTACTAGTGATTCTGATGAGCAAGTAGGCAGAGTGGACCTGGGGAAGCTAAATAAGAATCTGCCAGTATTTGTGAACTGGGAGGTGTGTGTAGCGTGTGAGTGGGGGCTAGGTGATGTTGGTATTTTGGGAAAACAGAACAGAGGAGCCCTAAGCCTGAAACCCCTGCATTTGCCCAATCAGTCTCTGTTTTATAAGGACCAAGAGCAGGGAAGATTTTATGCTGGACCCTAGCCCCTACTGTCTGCCAGCATTCACCTCCTGCCCTCTTCCTCACTTTCCTGAATTAGGAAGCACAAGCCTATGCAGATGACAACAGTTTGCTGTTCATGGAGACATCAGCGAAAACTGCAATGAACGTGAATGAAATTTTCATGGCAATAGGTAAATTGCATCTCCCCTGTTCTCCCAAGCAGGCTTGTGCTGGTCTCTGGCAAGTCTGTGGGGTGCCTTCACTAACAGAATTCTCACCATTTTAAATTATCTGATAAAACTGTTGTCTAGCTGACTTCCAGATGCAGAACTTTCTAAAGCCTGGGCCAAAGTCTCCATGTTTATACTCCCTGCCCATGTCAAAGCCATCTATTGCCATTCCTTCCCCCATACGACTTTAGCTCATTTGCCTTAGGAGTTGTCCTGCCTGGGTTCAAATACTGGCAGTGCCACTTGTAACTGGTTTTGGCTCACAAGCCCTCCAGAATTCTGGTTGTCATTATTAGGGGAAAATATTGGGGTGACCCCACAGGTGTATTTCCCCTTCTCTCCCAAACAGCTAAGAAGCTTCCCAAGAACGAGCCCCAGAATGTAGCTGGTGCTCCAGGCCGGAACAGAGGTGTGGATCTGCAGGAGAGCAGCCCAGCGAGCCGGAGCCAGTGCTGCAGCAACTGAGCCCCCTTGCCTGCCACTGCCCCCACTCCTCCACCAGAATGACCCGACTGGAATCCACTCTAACCAATCGCACTTAACGACTCGGGCCACCACTGGGGGCAGGGGAGGGGTCCATCATGAATTCTCTGCATAACTTTGATCCTAGGCCGAAGGGAGTTTATTCCACCTGCACCTTTCTGTACAAATACTAATTCAATTTTAAGTCTTAAGTCACTTTTTTAATATATATGATCTTCTGCTCTTCCCAGTCCCCTTTCTGCTGCTCTCCCACTTGCCCTTTGCTGTTAGTAGCTACGCTCCTGAGCCCCTGGTCTGTCGGGACAGGGGTTGGAGCAGTTACCCTTTCTTTCCTTCTTGCTGGAGAGCAGACTCAGCAAGAGCACCCACATCTTACCTTGCTGGGAGTGGTCTTGGTCCCAGGACAGTGGATAGGCCCTGGGCTGGGGAAGGGACAGGCGGCGCTTCCCTCAGCTGGCTGTCGTCAGGCTGCAGCCCCTCCCCATCTGACTCCCAACTGGGAGAGAAACCGCAGCATTACTTAAGCATCATTTGTGACAGCCACACACCATGGCCCAGGACCCCTCCACCCTTGGTCACCCTGACCTCTGGCTCTGAGCCCTGTTCTGACCAAATCACGATGATGAGTATTTGGGGGGGGTGTCAAGGGGGGGAGTGGGAGGGGATGGAACCAACTTTTTCTGTATTTTGTATTGTATGTTTTCTTCAACATGTAACCAATCAGTATCTTGTCAATATAGTCAGCCGATCGATCGACCTCACACTTGTCTTCCTCGTCTTTCTCTGGAAGAGTTTGTCAGGCCATACATATCCTCTCTATTTTTCTTGAAGTTAATATAAACAAATCATCCAGTCTGATTAAATGGCTCTACCCTCTGCATGTGAGAGGATGCTGGTGGTCATGGTAACCAAAAGAAAGGCCCCTGCTGTTGGCAGCTCTGATAGTATAGGAGGATAGAACTGACCTGGGACTGACCCCTGGCTCCCCTCAGCTTACATTAAAGGATACACAACCTGTATTTGAATATTGTTGGTGTCTGTAGTGACCTCCTAGGGGTTTTGTTTTTTGGTAGGACTCTGAGACCCATCTTTTTGTCCTCTCCCTGAAGAGGACCACTGAGGATTGATCCTAAGAGCAGTGCTGCAGCCCGTCTGCACCTCTGTCCTCCTCAGCCCCAGTCGTCCGCCCCCGCCCCCCCCCCCCCCCCCCCCCAGTGCGAGGTTCAGCACTGTCTATCCTGGTTCAGGACCATCCCAGCCCTCTGCTGCTCCCTGCTGGGGCTGTTGCTATTGCCTAAGTCCACACTCACCTCCGGTTTATATCAGCAAAACCGGAAGCCTGGTTATTGGTGTGCTTACTGCCTAAGATGCCCTTGGCCACCTCCTCCCTGCAGCTCCAACCCTCCACCCCTAGGAAAAATGCTGAGGGACTCCAAGGTTGCTGCACACATCTCGGTTTAATGGGTCAGGATCGGTTGGAGTTCTTAGGTCCGTGGCTCCTGTGTCTTGGGGCCTGGCTTGTTGGGGCATCAGGCGGAGGTAGCGACCTGTTTTGTCCCAGGACCCACAGATGGCCAGAGGGTGTCAGGCTGCAGGTCATGGCCGCAGGATCTATGTTCCTTGGGAGTTGCATTTGCCGGTGCACTGTCTGCTTTATGCGGTAACCACCCCTGACTGGGTCATTTGACTCATGTTGCCGCTGACCGGTCACCGTCAGGTTCTGGCCGTCCACCCGCACCATCAGGTCTTCGGGAGCAAAACCGTGGGCATCCATCTTCATCTGGAAACTTGTATTGGCATGGCCGTTGCCCTGCACCACAGGCATATCATCTTTGAGCAGCCGCACGGGTAGTGTGACCCCTTGATTTTGTTCAGCCAAAGCCACGCTGGGACATCGGGACGCTACCCGGTTCTCCCCCGGTTCTTGCTGCCCGGTGGAGAAATGGTTCCCTACCCGCCGCATCCGAGAGAGCAACTGCTGAGAAGGGCACGAGGGCTCCCCCTCCCCCCATCCTCTGGGGGCCCGCCCACTCTTCGCATTCCAAGGGGCAAAAGCTAGCAGAGATCAAGTCAGCTTTGTCCATCGTCCTCGCGAGCAGCAGGTTATTAGTGATCTAGTCTCCCACTGATGCTGTTATCCGGGACCATGCTCCTCCCTGGGCGCTTCTCCATCTACAGCAGAGGGCAGGAGGCTGTGAAGGAATTGGTTCACCTGAATATGCGGGATTTTCAACTCCACCCCAGATTGAGCAACAAGGTTGAAGAGGTCTGCCCTGCCCTTCCCTGCCCCCTTAAGAATCAGGCCTGGGGCAAGGAAGGTTGTTTCCCCGGACCGAAAGAGGGACCTTCCGGGTCTTTGTGAAAGAACTGGACCCGGACCTTTCATAGTCCTGAACTAACAGATGGAGAAGAAAATGGCTAATCCTCTGGCTCACCACCACCACCACCACCGGGGAGGCAGGGAAAAGATGAGAATAGGCGGGGAGGAAGGGAATGATTAAGGAAATTTGTTCAGCTTTAAAGCTGGGCGAGCCATATTTGCCTGTTCATAGGACAAAAATGGGGACCGTTCCATGCCCGCCATATCTGCAGCTTGACCCGCGGCGGCACTAACTGTCTCTCTGGGTTTTTTTGTTTTGTTTTGTTTTGTTTTGAGACAAGGTTTCTCTGTAGCTTTGGAGCCTGTCCTGGAACTCCCTTTGTAGACCAGGCTGGCCTTGAACTCACAGAGATCCGCCTGCCTCTGCCTCCCGAGTGCTGGGATTAAAGGCGTGCCCCACCACTGCCCTGCCTTCTCTGGTTGTTTTAATTTGCCCATTTCAGTATTTCAGTCCGTCAGTTTCTCTCTCTCTCTCTCTCTCTCTCCTCTCACACATACAAACAATTCTCTAGGCTGGGATTGTTTCATTCTTTACCTCAGCAGCATGACTCACAACTACGCCTCTGTTCTTTTGAAAATAAACTGTTTCTCTTTAACAGCAACCTAAGTACAGAAAAAGCCGAATGTCAAAGATAGTTCATCTGTGTCAACACCACACAGCACAAAATGTAGAATTCTACATTTCATCGCTATTGGAGCTACAATTTTGAGTCACTGGGGTAGGCTTTGGCAGTGTGGGAGCCAACCCTGGCCCAGGCCTGTTCTTCCACCTATGGATTTCAGAAGGGCGGAGCCCACAAATCCTCCAGACTGCCAGTGTTCCGGGGTTCCTCTTGTTCCCAAGAGAACAGCAATTATAACTATCCCGGATAACTTTAAAAAAAAAAATTTAGAAAAAATTAGCAGTCAACCTAGGGTGCTCAATCGAGCAACATTTGGCTGTCTGTAACCAAGAAACAGGACCGAAGTCCGGAAGGCCAAGGCATGGAGAGCGCCAAGGGAAGACTACGACTCCCATGGTGCGCCGGGGCAGCGACGCCTGCGCACTGTGCGCCGGTTGCCCATGCGGCCCTAGGGCTGGGAGCGCGGCGCCGCTCCGCTGCGGGGGAGGCCATGGCGGAACCTTCCCAGGCCCCAAACCCGGCCCCGGCCGCGCAGCCCCGGCCCCTTCAGTCCCCGGCCCCTGCCCCAACTCCGACTCCTGCGCCCAGCCCGGCTTCAACCCCTACTCCGGCTCCTACTCCGGCACCAGCCCCCACCCCAGCTGCAGCCCCAGCCGGGAACACAGGGACTGGGGGGGCCGGGGTAGGAAGTGGGGGGCCGGGCAGTGGGGGGGATCCGGCTCGACCTGGCCTGAGTCAGCAGCAGCGCGCTAGCCAGAGGAAGGCGCAAGTCCGGGGGCTGCCGCGTGCCAAGAAGCTTGAGAAACTAGGGGTCTTCTCAGCTTGCAAGGTGGGGGCGGGGCCTAGGGTGAAAGGGGCGGGGCTTGGGGGCATCCATGGGCTCGGGTGGGAATGGGGCCGAAGCTATAGCTTCAGAGCTTTTCTGGCGCTTGGGGTACAAAATCAGCTGACTGATCCTTCCGCCTCCAGGCCAATGAAACCTGCAAGTGTAATGGCTGGAAAAACCCCAAACCCCCCACCGCACCTCGAATGGACCTTCAGCAGCCAGCTGCCAACCTGAGCGAGCTGTGCCGTAGCTGTGAGCACCCCTTGGGTAAGGCAGGCAGTGTCTTTAGCGCTGGGGTCGAGGGCAGGTGCTAGGTCCTGTTTGGACAGAGTGCATAAAGTACCGTAAAGCCTCTTAGGGAAATTAGAGAGACTTCCTAAGGAAAGAGTGCGCTGGGAATGTATGTGTATGTCTCACGGAAAGAAAAGGGAAGTCTGCCTCCCAGAAGAAGCAGGGACTCCCAAGGGCTGGTGTGAGAACTGAGAACATTGGGTCTCCCTGTCCTTCAAGGATTGGAGGATCAAAGGTGTGTCTCAGGAGGAGATGCAAGAATTAAGCCCTTCTTCTGTTCCTCTCCACCCTCACGTTAACCATCTTGCAGCCGACCATGTATCCCACCTGGAGAATGTATCCGAGGATGAGATTAACCGGCTCCTGGGAATGGTAGTAGATGTAGAAAATCTGTTCATGTCTGTTCACAAGGAAGAGGACACAGACACCAAACAGGTCTATTTCTACCTTTTCAAGGTGAGCTTGCAAAGAGAAATGAGCCAAAGCTTTGGTGTGAGATGGGAATCTGACTCTGAGCTTGGCTACCCCTATTTCTCCCCACTCCTCTTCCTTACAGCTCTTACGGAAATGCATCCTCCAGATGACTCGACCAGTAGTGGAAGGATCCCTAGGCAGCCCCCCATTTGAGAAGCCTAACATTGAGCAGGTAGGACGGGTTGGAAAAGCAGACCTAAGGGGCAGCATAGGGGTAGAGTCTGAGAACAGGAGAGAGGCTCAAAGAAGAGACACATGTTTGCTGACCTCAGTGTGGGCGTGGAAGTTGGAAAGGTCAGGGTTTCCTAGAGTGAGGGGAAAGCCTTGACTTGTATTTGAGATGCCTCTGCTGGCTGTTCATGCCGCCGTCTGCTTTTGTCCCCCTCCCCCCTTCTCAGGGTGTCCTGAACTTTGTGCAGTACAAATTTAGCCACCTGGCCCCCCGAGAGCGGCAGACAATGTTTGAGCTCTCCAAGATGTTCCTGCTCTGCCTTAACTACTGGAAGCTGGAGACCCCTGCTCAGTTCCGGCAGCGGTCCCAGTCTGAGGATGTGGCTACCTACAAGGTTAATTATACCAGGTGAGCCCAGGCAGGGCCTCACAGGGGGAGGCTTGTATGATCCATGGGTGGTCTCCACACTCATCTCCCACTCCACCTCCCCCAGATGGCTCTGTTACTGCCACGTACCCCAAAGCTGTGATAGCCTCCCCCGATACGAGACCACCCATGTCTTTGGCCGAAGCCTTCTGCGATCCATTTTCACTGTCACCCGCCGGCAGCTACTAGAAAAATTCCGCGTGGAGAAGGACAAGCTGGTGCCTGAGAAGAGAACCCTTATCCTCACTCACTTCCCCAAGTAAGGCTCGGTCTGGCCTGTTGGGATTTTACCCCAAATTCATGTCCTCGCTGTTGTCCCTTTTTTCCAGGAAGACTTCCTGGATTGGTCCCTCCTCTCCCTCCATGGGCCTTCTGGGATCTGGGTGTCTACCTGGCAGATTTGCCCATGGCCCAGAAGCTACTTGCTAGTATGTGCTAGTCTGGGGATGGCAGGTACATGGCCCGAGCTAACGCTACCCCCTCCCAACCCCCTGTTAGATTATTACTAATAGTTTCCTATGGGCACCTGGATGCAGCCTCAGAACCCCTCCCTCCACAGGGCTCCAAGAAGTCAGAGTTTACGTTTATGCTGAAATCTTTTCCCGTCTCTGTTCTAGTCCTTTCTATATCCTTTTGCCTCTATTGTGCCTCTCTTTCCTCCCATTTGAATCTGGGTCAGAGCTCCCTATTCAAAAACCTTTGCTGGAGACAGGCGTGTGAGAGCGAGAGGTGGCAAGATTGGGTGATTCTCAAACCATTTTGATACAGAGGTGGAGTAAGGGAATTCAGGTGACTGGGTACCCTGCCTGGCCACACAGCATAGGGTGGCATCAGCTCAGACCCCTTCTCCTGTGCCATACATCATGCCATGAATGGGTCCCTCACCTCTATCCTGGTTGTGTCCTGTCCTTTTATTTTCTCTTAGTGGTCCTCAGCAGGCAGAGAGCTGAGACTCGCTCTACATAATAGGCCTTCCCAGACAGCAGAAGCTGTTGTCTCTTCTCACTGGCTCCCACCCACTGAGAACAGGGGCTGGCTGGCTGGCGGGCCTCTCATCCCTCTGGGGTCTGACCCAGGCTACTCCTGGTTGAAGTCTGGAATTGTGGGACAGTTGTTCCGTCCCCACAGGTTTCTGTCTATGCTCGAGGAAGAGATCTACGGGGCAAATTCTCCCATCTGGGAGTCTGGCTTCACCATGCCACCCTCAGAGGGGACCCAGCTGGTGCCCCGACCAGGTACGTTGCCCCATAGCCCTGCAGGGTCTCCTCAGTCACCCTGGCTGGCCTGCTGACCCTGGGATGATAGAGTGGTGGGGTGTGGTAGCAGTAGGAAGATACCTTGGGGCTCAGAAAGGGCTGACAGGGCCTGGATCCTTCTGAAGACCTCACCACACCCTCCACTCCCGTCCTTAATGTTTTTTCTCATGCAGCTACAGTCAGCGCAGCGGTTGTTCCCACCACCCCCATCTTCAGTCCCTCCATGGGTGGAGGCAGCAACAGCTCCCTGAGCCTGGATTCCACAGGAGCTGAGCCCATGCCAGGTGGGTTCTTGACCCGACCTCTCACCCCCATTTACCCTTCCCTCCACATTTCCTGCTATCCCTCGGTGACCTTGTCAACCTCCTCAGTAGGGGAGAAGAGGAAGCTTCCCGAGAACCTCACCCTGGAGGATGCTAAGCGGCTCCGAGTGATGGGTGACATCCCCATGGAGCTGGTCAATGAGGTCATGCTGACCATCACTGACCCTGCTGCCATGCTGGGACCTGAGGTAGGCAGCCCGGTCTGCTGATCTGTCAGGGAAGGGACCCTCACCCACCCAAGGCCCTTGCTTACTACCGCTCTTCCGCCTAGACGAGCCTTCTTTCAGCCAACGCAGCCCGAGATGAGACGGCTCGCCTGGAGGAGCGTCGTGGCATTATCGAGTTCCACGTCATCGGCAACTCTCTGACGCCCAAGGCCAACCGGCGAGTGCTGCTCTGGCTCGTGGGGCTACAGAATGTCTTCTCCCACCAACTCCCACGAATGCCCAAGGAATATATTGCCCGCCTCGTCTTTGACCCGTGAGTCCCTGGAATTCCCCATCCTTCTACACTGGACACCCTCCCTCTCCTAAGGCTCAGCCTTTCAGGGTTGAGGGACCTGGGGAGCGTGGAAAGGACAGGTAAACCCCATGACACGCCCCTTCTCTCTTAGGAAGCATAAAACTCTGGCCTTGATCAAGGACGGGCGGGTCATCGGTGGGATCTGTTTCCGCATGTTCCCCACTCAGGGCTTCACGGAAATTGTCTTCTGTGCTGTCACCTCAAATGAACAGGTCAAGGTGAGCACAGTGGCCCCGACCGTGACCCTACCTCACCACCTGCTTCTGAATTTGGACCAAGTCAGCCAGAATGGCAGAATGTCTGTGCCCCAGAGCTTCTTGTAGTGACCAGACATTTCCACAAGGTGGCAGCTCTGCCTTGAACGTTCAGGAAACACCTGTTTAAAAAAAAAAGTACCTAAGCATGGGCTATCGTGGCCCATGCCTTTAAACCCACCACTGGAAAGGCAGAGACAGGAGGATGTCTGTGAGTTCAAGGCCAGACTGGTCTACAGAGCGAGTTCCAGGACAGCCAAAACTGTTACACAGAGAATCCCTGTCTCCAAAAACAAACAAACAAAAAAAGATATCCAAATCAGCCTTTTTTTTTTTTTCCTTTTCTGGTGTTGGGATGAAACACAGGAATTTGTGAACACCAGGCAAGAACTCTACGACTGAGTCTGACCCCACCAAGATAGACAGATAGATAGATATACACAGGTTTCCCTGTGTAGTCCTGACTGTCCTGGAACTCAAGAACTTGCTCTGTAGACCAGGCTGGCCTTGAACTCTCAGATCACAGAGATCCACCTGCTTCTGCCTCCTTGAGTGCTGGGATTAAAGGTGTGCACCACCACCACCCGGCTCACAAGCAAGATTTTTAAGTGAACCTTTGGGGACTTGTTGTTTCAGAGAGGGTCTCATATATCCCAGTCTGGCCTTAAGCACACTGTGTAATCCAGGGGACCCTAAACTTCTGACCCTCTGGTCCCTGCCCCCAGGGCACTGGCTCACAAGGGCACACCACCATGCTGGGTTTTATCCAGTTTGGGAAATTGAACCCAGGTCTTTGTGCATACCGAGCAAGCATTCTACTAAGTGAACTACACCCCGGGACAAAAACTTTTTAAGTGAACTGGCTTCTTCCCAGGGAAATTTACAAGCATACCTTGGGAGAGTTGATAACTATTAGAGTTACTGAGAGCTAATAGTCCCAGTTTCGGTCTTTTCCACAATAAGCTATTTCAGGCTTCTCGCTCTCCTGTTTTATATACCTGTCTGTGTGGTCCTGACATGAGTGAGTTCAGGGTTCAGATGCTCACGAACAGTCCTCTGTGACCCTTTCTGTTCTGAAGCCCCAGCACTGGGGCCAACGGGCTGTGTTGGATTGGAACCCAGCCCTGCTGCATCTCTTGTAAACTGACCTCAGACTGTTCTTTGTGAACCTATGTTTCAAGGGTTTTTTGATTTGGTTTGGTTTTTTGGCTTTTTTTTTTCTTATGAAATGGGGCTTTTAATAACTACTCATGTACAGACTGAAGGATGGGCCTGTGAAGAATCAAGTGTGCTGAATGTGGCCCAGAGCAGCTATCTAGAAACCCTTCACTTTTCCTCCATAAACCCTGGTCTCCCCACACAGGGCTATGGCACGCATCTGATGAACCACCTAAAGGAGTACCACATCAAACACAGCATCCTTTACTTTCTCACCTATGCTGACGAATATGCCATCGGCTACTTCAAAAAGCAGGTGCGCTGTGGTCTCACCATACCTGCTGCTTGGGGCCCAGGTTTGGGTGCACAGCTTCCAGTAGCAGAGTCCCTTCTAATCCCCTGTTGCACCTGTCACCAGTGAGGAAGGGCCTCTCTTCCTGTCTCCTCTCTGCCTCTTGCCACCTAGTGAAGAACAGGGCCAGGAATCGGAAGGTGCTTCAGGGGATTGGAGGAGGTGCAGCAGCCGGGTTGGAGCCTTTCTGGAGGCAGGTAGAGCTCTCACTGCCACAGGCATGTTTAGGGATGCAGGAGGAAGTGTGCCATGTGTCTCTCAAGTGCTCCTGAAGAAATGACTTCCAAAGTCAGAGAGTCCTTGCTGATGGATTGGGTCTTAACTATCCGCTCACCCAGGGCTTCTCCAAGGACATCAAGGTGCCCAAGAGCCGATACCTGGGCTACATCAAGGACTATGAAGGAGCGACGCTGATGGAGTGTGAGCTGAATCCCCGGATCCCCTACACAGAGCTGTCCCACATCATCAAGAAACAAAAAGAGGTGAGTGCCATATTCATGGGGATTTTGTGCATGTGCATTGGTCGGGCGTAAACGTGCAAAGGCATGTACCGTGCGTGTGTTTAAGTGGAGGAGATGGACCAGATCTTGATTCTCGCCCTGCTTCTTAGGAAAAGTCAAAAGTAAATGTCACCATGGTCTTGGGGGTGATTGGACCCGAGTTGGCCCCTCAGACCTTTGCTTTCTCAGATCATCAAGAAGTTGATTGAGCGCAAACAGGCACAGATCCGAAAGGTCTACCCTGGACTCAGCTGCTTCAAGGAGGGAGTGAGGCAGATCCCTGTGGAGAGCGTCCCTGGCATTCGTGAGCAGGGGCCTTGGCTGAAAGGGCAGGAGGGCATTCTTGGGTGTGGGCAGGCATTCTTAGGGCTGTTCTCTCCCCTTTGCAGGAGAGACAGGCTGGAAGCCAATGGGGAAGGAGAAGGGGTAAGTGTTTAGGGAATGAACATGGGAATGAGGGCGAGGGAGGAGGGACAGAAGGACTCACACCTCAGACTTGGCATATTCTATTCCAGCAAGGAGCTGAAGGACCCTGACCAGCTATACACGACCCTCAAAAACCTTCTGGCTCAGATCAAGGTGGGAGGCCAGGCTCTCTTCAGGGGTCATTGAAGTGGGTGGCAGTCTTGGGTTGGGCAAGTTGGCACTGTGAGCCTGTCCCCAGCTCAGCTCTTCTCTCCAGTCACACCCCAGTGCCTGGCCCTTCATGGAACCTGTGAAGAAGTCAGAGGCCCCAGACTACTATGAGGTTATCCGCTTCCCCATTGGTAAGGACCCTCCTGCCTTCATTTTCCCAGGGTGTGCCCCCATATCTGTGCCTGCCTGTGTTGAATCAGGTACCCCTCCAGGACCCACTGTGGTCAGCAACCCCAGCTATATCCCTTCACCTCTTAAAGGCATATCCCTTTTCTGTGACCCAGACCTGAAGACCATGACAGAACGGTTGCGCAGTCGCTACTATGTGACCCGGAAGCTCTTTGTAGCTGACCTGCAGCGGGTCATCGCCAACTGCCGGGAGTACAATCCTCCAGACAGTGAATATTGTCGCTGCGCCAGTGCCCTGGAGAAGTTCTTCTACTTCAAGCTCAAGGAGGGGGGGCTCATTGACAAGTAGTCCCAGCTGGGCTCTGCAGTGTCCACCTCAGTCTTGTCAGATCCATTTGGGCGTTTTTGGCCCCCCTCTCCCTGCCTCAGCAGGAGAAGCTCCAGCCATGGACCCCAGATCTTGCAGACTCTTCAGCCAGCAGGCACTCCTAAGCCTGCAGCTCTGTTCCTGCCTTCATTGCATCCGACCTTGGGGAGATGTCTGGTCTGGGACCAGCCCCTTGTAGAATGTCTGGTGGCCAGGGAATGGACTGCTCAGCCCTGGTCCTTACAGAGCTATGCAGGCTGGCAGTTCTGAGCCTGATTCAGGTGCCTGTTTCCAGGGTCAGGGCTATTCATCGATCCGCCTTGGGCTGGAACAGCCCAGGCTAGAGGAGCCATGAGGGGCTGTGGCTCATCCTGCACTGTCTTGTCCATCTGTCCCCCAGGGCTGGGGCACCAGGACCATTCATTCCTTGGCATTAATCCCTTGGAGGGAACAATAAAGCTTTTTTTTTTTTTTCCCTGTGTGATTGCTTTTGGTGGGGTGGGGTGTAGCTTCAGATTTAGTAGACTGACCTTTGCTCCTCCAGTCCTTCCTCCTGGCAACGTGGAAGCCTAACTTCAGGCTGGACTGGGGCTGCTGACCCTTGTAATTCCTAGGAGTGATGTACCTGCCTGGCTGCCACCCCTCTCCTCTTCTCCCAATGGCTTCCAGCCTGTCTCATGTACAAAGGGGGAGTAAGAACTTGCCCATCCCGACTCCGGGGTGGTCCTGGTCCAGTCAACCAAGGTCCGAACCTCCATGCCTTCCCCTTAACCCAGCTGGGGAAAAGGGTTTGAGAAGTAGAGGACCAGGGCAATGAAAGCGCACTCCTCTCATTAACTAAACCCCACCCCAATCCTATTTTTATTTGTGGCTGGGAAGGGATGGGCTGGGCTCCGGCTTCTCTGGCTCTTCCCCTTGTTTCAGTTTCATTTCTAATCACTGAGCTGCCTGCCCCGGGCTTTCCAGAACTCCAGAAGGCTCAGCAGAGACCAGGCTGGTTTGCTCTCTCCCCAACACGGTCACCCCAGTTCTGGCTGCAGCAGGTTCCAGGTGGGTCTCTATGGTGTGCTACCCCACCTCCCTGAGAAGCTTGGAATTCCAGGCACAGGGCAAATTCTGCAGCTGATTGTGCTGTCTGGGAGGGGGGAGGGGTTAGAAGGCAGGGGTTCTGATAACCTCTGCCATTCCAGAATGGAGCTGCGGCCCTACCAGTGGGAAGTGATCTTGCCTGCTCTGGAAGGCAGGAATATCATAATCTGGTTGCCCACGGGCGCTGGCAAGACCCGGGCAGCTGCTTTTGTGGCCAGGCGGCATCTAGAGACAGTAGACAGAGGCAAGGTGGTGGTGCTGGTCAACAGGGTGAGTGGTCTGCCTTTCCCACAGCAGGGTCTCTGGTCGTCCTGACCGTTCTTGGTCTCTTCTAGTACAGCGCTGCTGGGTCTTCTCACCTTGGTTCAGGACCCAGCAATGTCCTGAAGGGTCACCCTACTCCCAGCTTCCCCCACCCCAACCCCCAATAACTGCCATTTCCCACCCCCACCACAAGCCAGGTTCTCTCCCCGCATTCTTTACTCCCAGGTACACTTGGTGAGCCAGCATGCTGAGGAATTCAGGAGCATGTTGGATAAACGCTGGACCATGACTACCCTGAGTGGAGACATGGGACCACGAGCTGGCTTTGGCCTAATGGCCCGGAGCCATGACCTGCTCATCTGCACAGCAGAGCTCTTGCAGCTGGCGCTGGTCAGCCCAGAAGACGAGGAACACGTAGAGCTCACAGGTGAGGGCAGGGCCCTGTGAACACCTGTGGATCCAGTCATTGTGGGAACGAGTGGGCCCCATTGCCAAGGCCGAATCCTGGTTATAAAACCTGCTCCCGGGCAAATAAGCCCCTTCCCCAGCTGAGCCCCACTTTACTAGTCTATAAATTGAGAGAAGCCAACCCCGCCTGTGCCTTGTCTGGAGCGCAGCTCGAAGTTAGGAAGGGAGAGGGGGAAAAGAACGGGGACCTCACAAAGCAAAAACTGCTGGAAGAGGTGCCAGGTGTGGCTTACAGCTGTCCCTCATGTGCCCCCAGAGTTCTCACTGATCGTGGTGGACGAGTGTCACCACACCCACAAGAATACGGTCTACAACGTCATTCTGAGCCGCTACTTAGAACACAAGCTGCAGAAGGCAGAGCGCCTTCCCCAGGTGCTGGGGCTCACGGCCTCCCCAGGCACCGGCAGGGCCACCAACCTCCAAGGGGCCATTGACCACATCCTACAGGTCAGTTGAGTCCCTGCTGCCCTCCTACCACAGATCCACTAGGGGACCTCCTTGCCTGCCTGGCCTCTCCCCAGCCCTACAACCCTACCCTTCCTTCTGTGGCTACACCGATCTCTTCCAGGATCTTGAGCCCATTGTGCTTGTGGGAGTTCTTGAACTTACTATTCCTTTTGCCTGGAGTGCCCAGCGAGCAGCTCTGTCGCTGTCACAGTCTCCCTCTGGCTTTGTTACAGCAGCAGCTTTAGAATTTTCAGAGTTCATTCTTACTACCTAATGTGTTTCCATTATATATTCTTAGCTATTTCTCAATGGTTTCTTCATGTTCATGGTTCATGTCCATCTAAGTTCCTCTCTCACACCAGTACCTAGAATATTAGTAACTCAGGACGCACCTTTAAACACGGAAGAAATAAACCCCAACTCCCAATGCCCCTGCTTTAGGCTCTTCCTGTTCTTAAGCCAGGACTCCGCCTCCTCAAAATTCTGCCTGACCCCTCTTTCCGGTGATGCCTCTCTATCACCTCCAGCTCTGTGCCAACCTGGATACGTGGCGCATCATGTCACCAGAGAATTGCCGCCCCCAGCTGCTGGAGCACAACCCGAAGCCCTGCAAGCAGTACGACCTCTGCCAAAGGCGCAGAGAGGTGCGTGAGGAGTCCCTGGGCAGGCTGGGGTCCGGTGCAGAGTTAGGGAAGCTCGGCTTGGGCTCTGACTCCACCTCCCCCAGGTCTTGTCATTTCAGGCCGCTTGCCTGTACCTCTGTGCTGCCACCTATCCTTTCTGTGTTCTGTGCTTTGAGGCACATGTAGTCCGCGTCCATAGCCTACTGTTGAGATTGGCTCATGGTACTGCCAAGACGTGAAGCTGGGGCACTTGGTGTCGAGGCTGGACCAGTTCTCCTCTTCAATAGTGGCACTGGCTGATGTCTGTAATGGCAGGGCTGAACCACGGTTCAACATCACTGTGTCCAGGCTACAGGGCAAACGCATAATTGAGACAGCAGAAGCTCTCCAGCCGCGATGCTACTTCACACCCAGCAGGCCAGCCCTTTGATGTTCTCACTCCCAAGATAAATTGTACCTCCATGGTACCCAACTCTGCCATATTATGGGAATTCCCTCATCCTGTCATTCCTCCCTTCTCAGGACCCTTTTGGAGACTTGCTAAAAGAGCTTATGAAACAAATTCACCAGCAACTAGCGATGCCTGAACTGAGCCAGCAGTTTGGAACGCAGACTTACGAGCAGCAAGTAGTGGAGCTGAGCAAAGCTGGTGAGGAGCAGTTCGGGAGGTTCTGCCTGGGCGGAGCCTTTGAGGGTGGAGCTTCTACACTCGTGGTCTAGGTGGTCTAGGTGGTCTAGGTGGACCATTTAGGAGCAGAAGAACCTAGGAACATTGACCCTGCATCCTTTGCTTGCAGCCGCAGAGGCAGGACTCCAGCAACGGCGGGTGTATGCGCTCCACCTGCGGCGCTACAATGACGCGCTGTTGACCCACGACACCGTCCGCGCACAGGATGCTCTTGACATGTTGCAAGATTTCTACCACAGGGAGCGCGCCACGAAAACTCAGATGCTGCGTGCGGAGCGCTGGCTGCTGGAGCTGTTCGATGGTGAGCCATAATGGGGTCAGAACTGCTAGAGCGCTCCAGGTCAGTTAGGGAGGCTGGGACTCTTTATTTTCCCAATCAAAACCCAAGGCTGCTGGTATGACAGACTTGTTGCCTCAAGTGTGACAGTTTGCAGCAGAAAAACTAATTCAGGTTATAAACAGATATTTTAACTTATTACACTAATTTGCTAAGTGGGGTGAGGAAGGCATACATTCGTGTGGGCACGTGTGCCACAGCAGCACTCTCTTGGAGGACAGAGGCCAACTTGCCTCCTAGTGGGGATTGAACTCAAATGTCAGGTGTTTTTTTTCTGAGTCATCTTACCAGCCCTCAACCAAGATATTTTAAAAACCCCTTAGGGTGGCTCCACAGGTAAAGGGCTTCCCATGCAAGCGTCCGGTGCCCTCTTCTGGCCTGCAGACATACACACAGACAGAATATTGTATACATAATAAATAATACACATGTGTCATGGTATACATACCCATGAACACATGCCATGTACATACATGATAATAAAAAAATGAAAATTTAAAAATAAGGGTTGAGAGTGATAGAAAACACCTGACAGGGATCTCTGGTGGGTATGCGCATGCGTGTACACACACACACACACACACACACACACATACACACACACACTACAGAAAAATCTGGCTTGAAGCTATTCTGGTATCAAGGATAAATTTGAAAAGCTCAAAGACCAAACAGTGGTGATCCGCACCTTTAATCCCAGCACTCAGAAGGCCGAGACAGCCAGAGCTCTGAGTTCAAGGCCAGCCTGGTTTACAAAGCAAGTTTCAGGACAGCCAAGGCTCACAGAGAAACCCTGTGGGGGGAGGAAGAGAAAAGAAAGAGAAAAGCTCCAAGGTGTGGCTGGGGTGCAGTCTAATGGTTAGAGCAGTTACCTTGCATGCACAAAGGCCCAGTTTGGCTTCAAGTGAAGAACCCATGACTGTAATCCCAGGATTTAGGAAGTGAAAGCAGGAACAGAAGTCGTCCTTGGCCATGCAGTGAGTTTGAAGCCAGCCTGAGTTACATGGGAACCTGTCTAAAAAAACTAAAACAACAGTTTCCAAGGCCCTACCTGTAGCCAGCTAGCAGTGAGTCACGCCTTTAATCCCAGCAGAGGCAGGCAGATCTCTGTGAGTTCGAGGCCAGCCTGGTCTACAGATCAAGTTCTAGGACAGCCAGGGCTACACAGAGAAACCCTGTCTCAAAAAAGCAAAACAAAACAAATATAAGGCAAGAGTGAGAATGAGTGCCAGCCTGGGGTACATGAACAATGGATTCTATACTCAGTGTCTTGTATAAGGCTGGCCTTGATAATGAGAGGAAACTATGTCCTCAAGTGTGTTCTTGGAATAGACAGGAGTAGGTGTCCTCCTATCTTTCTGTCCCTGTGAGCGCCCTGTCCACATCCAGGCCTAAGCCCCTTGCCTCTGCCTCTGTTTTGATGTTCCCAGGCCATAAGAATGAGCTGGCCCAGTTAGCAGCTCGTGGGCCCGAGAATCCGAAGTTGGAGATGCTGGAAGGGATCCTGCTGAAGCAATTTGGGAGCCCCAACCACCCTCGGGGCATCATCTTCACCCGAACCCGCCAGAGTGCTTACTCCCTCCTGCTCTGGCTTTGGCAGCAGCCTGGCCTACAGAAAGTGAACATCAAGGCCCAGATGCTGATTGGAGCAGGGAATAGCAGCCAGAGCACACACATGACCCAGGTGTTTGGTTTTGGTTGGTGGCTTTTCATAGGGAAGCGGGGGGAAGGGTCATCAGCACCGAGTGATAGCAGGAAGGCTGGGGGAAGGAGGGATTGAATCTTCCTAGAGCTGAGATGACAGAAATCACCCCGTCCTCCCCAACCCCCACCTCTAGCCTGGCCTAAGGGCCACAGGGAATGGAGTAGGAACCCTGGGGGCGAGGAAGAGACTGAGTTCTGTGGTTTCTCAAGACCGAGGGTCAGGCCCTTGAGACACCTTATGGGAGAACAGAGGTTAGCCGGGTAGACGGGGACTTTTAGGAGTCACTGGTGGTAGGATGGTTGCCTAACAAGCCCAAAGCCATAAGCCAGGTGTGGTAATGCCGTTTGCTCCCAGCAACCAGAAGAGAGACAGTAGAAGCCTTAGGAGTAGAAGATCAAGGCCATTCTTGGCTACACCAAAAGTTCAAGGCCAGCCTGTGATTCTGGAGAATCTATCTTTTAAAGGGGGGGGGAGGGGAGGAGACAGTGCAGGAGAAAGAAAGAATGTGTGGCCCTAGGGATTGGGGTCACCAGGGAAGATGGACAGGATCTTGGGGACTCTGAGTAGTTCGTATAAACCTTCTCCTCCCTACCAATCCTTCCACAGAAAAACCAGCAAGAGGTAATCCAGGAGTTCAGGGATGGTACCCTGAACCTTCTAATTGCTACAAGTGTGGCAGAGGAGGGGCTGGATATCGCCCAGTGCAATGTGGTGGTACGCTATGGGCTCCAGACCAATGAGATCTCCATGGTCCAGGTATCCTAGGGCCCTCCTCTCCACTGCCACAGTCCTAGAAGGAGCCGCCTGGGACCCCAGCCTACTCCTGACTGACCTTTGCCATTCTTCCCAGGCCAGGGGCCGCGCTCGAGCTGGGCAGAGCGTGTACTCCTTTGTGGCAACAGAGGGCAGTAGGGAGCTGCAGCGGGAGCTGACCAATGAAGCTCTGGAGGTGCTGATGGAGCAGGCCGTGGCTGCAGTGCAGAAGATGGACCCCCAAGAGTTCAAGGCCAAGGTCAGCAGACTCTGACTGCACCCACACACTCCTGGGGTCCCCTCCCAGCTTATCCAAGGAACTTTTATACTATGCAGAGAAAGATGAAGGCCAGGGTCATGTTACCGGAGAGGGTAGTGCCTGTCCTCCACATAACCTGAGAAACAGGCCTCGTCCTAGGGTTGCCCTTATGTTTGGTTACCACAGCAAGTTTGAGGCCAACCTGAGATACTGAGAATCTGTCTTTAAAAAGGGGGGTGGGGAGGGAGGATTGGGGTGGTGGACAGTGGTGGCGCACGCCTTTAACCTGAGCACCTGGGAGGCAGAAGGCAGGTGGATCTCTGTGCTTTTGAGGCCAGCCTGATCTACAGAATGAGTTCCAGGACAGCCTAGGACAAGGCCTGTTTCTAAGGTTATGTGGAGGACAGGCACTACCCTCTCCGGTAACATGACCCTGGCCTTCATCTTTCTCTGCATAGTATAAAAGTTCCTTGGATAAGCTGGGAGGGGACCCCAGGAGTGTGTGGGTGCAACACCAGTGGGTGTTGTTTTCTCAAAACAACAGAAAACAAAGGTGGGGGTAGGGTGGGGACAGATACTTTGTATTTCTGAGAGAGCTTCTAGAAACAGACAGAAGGGAAACAAAGACCCAGGCAGATGAGAAGATTGGAACAAGGCACTGAGTTTAGATTCCTAGACAAGTAAAAACCTGAGGACATCAAAGGGTTCCTGTGATCTCAGCTCTGGGAAGACTGAGGCAGGTGAGGCAGGGCATCTCTGGGCTTCCTGGCCAGCTGCTGGGTCAGGGAGCTCCGGGCTCCGGGTTCAGTAAAGGACCTTGTCTCAAAAACAAAACAAACAAACAAACAAAAAAAGTCCCTTCTGGGTCTAGGTACAAATGCCCTGGGAGCTTTCCTGAGGTTGGGTCTCTTGCTGTCCATGTCATGTCTCCTCCCCACTGCCCCCGTCCCTGCCCAGATCCAGGACCTGCAACGGGCAGCTCTGGTTAAGCGAGCAGTGCGCGCAGCCCAGCGGGAGAGTCAGCAGAGGCAGTTCCCAGCGGAGTGCGTGCAGCTCCTCTGCATCAACTGCATGGTGGCCGTGGGCTACGGAAGTGACCTGCGGAAGGTGGAGGGCACCCACCACGTCAATGTGAACCCCAACTTCTCGTGAGAGCTGTGGGAGGGCTGGCAGGATGAGGAAGGACTTTTGCAAGGTGGAGGAGGCTAAAGAGCGTTTTAGCAAGCAGGTTTTATCCATAGTCCCATCTCACAAGCGAGGAAGCAGAGGGGCGGTGTCTTTCTTAAGCTTCCGTGGCCATTGTGGGATTGAAAGAAAACTGGAATTTAGGATACAAAGACTTTAGCTACAAACTAACTTCTTGGTCCTACACACTTTCAGGACATTCAAGACAGGTCCAACTGCCAGGTGAGGTGGCTTGGAGAATGACTTGAGCCTAGGAGTTCAGAGCCAAGGCAATAGAAAGGCCTCCATCGCTTAAAAACAAAACAAAACAAACAAACAAACAAACCAGTAGCTAGCTGGGTAGCTGGGTATGGTGGTAGTGGTTTGGTGGTTATACATGCTTGTAGTTCAGTACCTGGGAGTTCAAGGTGTTATCCTTGGCTACACAGACAGTTCCAGGACAGGCTGGACTCAAAAAGAGGAGGGTCCTAGAAGGGCCCTGGACTTCATAGTGAGTTAGTTTCAGGATAGCCAGGGTTACATAGAGAGAAACTGTTTCAAAAGATAAATAAAAGAAGAAAAAAGAAAAAAAGGGGGGGGAGGGTGTAACTCTGTTTGGAGAAGGCTCTCCTAAAATATGCAAAGCCCTGTAGGTTCTATCCCCGGCACCTGGATGGTGGTGCACACCTGTAATCCGGCGCTCTGGAAATAGAGGCAGTAGGATCAGCAGGGCAAGGCTACCCTCAGTTACACAGCAAGTTGGAGGCCTGAGCCTGATTCCCAGTTCGCACGGTAGAGGGGGAGACTCCCAGAAGTTGCCTTCAGACCTCCACAGGAGCTTGGTGGCACACACACACCTTCCTGATCCGTCCTTCACATACTAAGTTACAGAACTCCCCCTCTCGCTAGGCCACCCCTGCCCCATTCTACCTCCTACCTTACTTCTGCTTACAACAGTCATTAAGAACCTGTTTACTGACACCGCCTGTGTGTCAGGTCACGATGCCAAGGTTCTTCGAATGGGTTCCATTTGAGGGAGCATTTCACCCAGGTAGGAGAAGGAGGTTGGTGGGGTTTGAACATGGGAAGATGAGTCTAGGCAGAGGTGAGGGAGCCTAGTCATCCTGAGAGGGAGATGGGAGTGATGGGATGCAGGAAGACTAACCAGGTCACGGAGCATCTTGAAGGTTGGGCCTGGAAGTTAAACCGTCATCCAGGAGGCAGTGAGGAGGCTCGGGTGCACACTGAACCAGGGAATGTCAGGGAGGATGGATGTTTCTAGAACACTCTGTCAGGTGAAGGGAGGTAGCTTGGGGTTGGAAATAAGGAAGGAGGAGATTCATAAGGAAACTTGAAACCCTCACGTGGGAGTCAAAAAGTTCCCAAGCTTGGGTGTGGGAAGGGGGTGCAGACGGGGCAGGCAGACCCTCTGAGGTCTCGACTTCCTGGTTCTGGGAAGTTTTGTATCTTGACAGGCAGAAAACCCTGCTGCCCTGGCAGGGGCTCAGCCAGCTACAGGGCCTGAAGTCTGGGGTACAGGAACTCCAGAAGGGCGCTGTTTACCTCATCCTCTCTAGGATCTACTATACCGTCTCCCAGAAGCCTGTGGTCATTAACAAAGTCTTCAAGGACTGGAAGCCTGGAGGGACCATTAGCTGCAGTAACTGTGGGGAGGTAAGTGAGGGGCTATCGCTCAGGCCAAGAGCCCTCAGCCCCAGACCCCAGAGGCCCTTGATCTGGGAAAGAGACCCTCACACAGAGTGGCAACGAGTCCTGCCATGGATGACCCACAGTCTCTGCTCTAGTCCTGTCTTAGGGAGCCCACTGCATGATGGTAGAAACCCAGATGTTGACTTTTGTCCCACCACTAGGTCTGGGGCTTGCAGATGATCTACAAATCAGTGACCTTGCCGGTGCTCAAAATCCGAGGCATACTCCTGGAGACCCCTCACGGGAGGATCCAGGCCAAGAAGTGGTCCCGGGTGCCCTTCTCAATACCTGATTTTGACATTCTACAGTACTGCGCCCAGAACCTGTCTGATCTCTCCCTGAACTGACCACTTGTGGCTGTAGTACCTAGCCCAGACTGCAGGGGGCAGGATAGTCCAGCAAGCCATTCCCCTCCCCCTGGGTAGTACACTGGTCAAGGGTAGGGGGGAACCTTTATTCTGTCACAAATATTCTTTTTTTTTTTAAATAAATCTTTATTTATTGCATATACAGTGTTCTGCTTGCATGTATACTTACAGGCCAGAAGAGGGCACTAGATCTCATTACAGATGGTTGTGAGCCACTATGTGGTTGCTGGGAATTGAACTCAGGACCTCTGGAAGAGCAGCCAGTGCTCTTAACCTCTGAGCCATCTCTCCAGCCCCCCACAGATATTCTTATACATTTGGGATGGAGTGGAGAATAATTGATGGAAAATAAACCTCATATTAATAATTGCAGTTCCAATACATTTTGCCACATATACCCTCCTCTAATCAAGATATAAGCACATAAAGCCAAGTGGTGGTGGCACATGCCTTTAAACCAGCACTCGGCAGGCAGAGGCAGGTAGATCTCTGTGAGTTCGAGACCAGCCTGGTCTACAAGAGCTAGTTCCAGGACAGGCTCCAAAGTCACAGAGAAACCCTGTCTCGAAAAACAAACAAAAAGATATAAGCACACCCTCCCAAGCGTCTCTGTTCCCATCGTAGCCCTGTTCTTTCTCTAACCCTCTCTCCACACTGTAGTAGTTTTTAATCTTAAAATATTACCCTTGAGACTGGAGGTGTAGCTCAGTTATTAGAGTGTCTCCCATCCACAGAGCCTAGGGTCTGCTCCCTAGAACTGCCTGGAATCCAAGCCCTGAAGAGATAGGGACAGGAGATGGCTCATTGGATAAAGTTTTGCCCCAAGCCTTACTGAGTTCAATCCCCAGGCCCTACCCGTGGGAAGAGGAGACCATTCTTGCCAAGTTGTTCTCAGACCTCCTCAGGAGCACCACAGTGTATTCGTGTGCCCACACACGTCACACACACACAACATGAGCAAGAACTGTAGTTAAAGTAAGTTCAAGGTCATCCTTGGCTACTAGTGAGTTTGAGGCCAGCCTGGGCCACAAGAGATCCAGTCTGGAAAAAAAGAAAAATAAAAATCTGTTCGGTATCTGTCTGACCCTCATGTAGGTCGTCAACAGGATAAATCAGAGGTGTTGAAGACAGGATTCACAGGCAGAAAACACAACTGGCACGGAAGAGGCTCTGGGTTCCATTCCCAGATCTAAAAAGCCTCCATTTGAGGCCATTGTGTCCCCCCCCCCCACTCTGCTGTGTCAGGCTCTAACCCCATGCCCCCTTTTTATTCCCCCTTCTCACCTGGGTGAAGAGCACCTGATGGTTTGAGGGCTGGGATGAGGTAGGCATGGCATAGGGGAATGAGCTGCAAAGGCCTACATTTTTTGTTCTCGTTTTAAGAAAGGCGAGATCTAGGTTGATTCTTCAGGGAAAGGGCTATTTCTGTAGTAGGAGGCCCAGCAGGCAAGAGTCACCTTCAAGGGGGGGAGGAAAGGGTTAGGGTAGAGATGTGGCAGGAGGATGACAGTTCTTCCTTCCATCCAACCGTCATCTCTCCCGCTTCATCCTTGCCCTGCCTCAGAGTGGATGGAAAATAGTTCATTCTCTCTTCTCCCGGTCTTTGCTGACTGAGAGCTAAAATTTCTCTTCCACCCTCTTGGGCATCCATCTTCGCTCTGAGGAGACCGTCTTCCTCTCCGGGCATCCTTGGCCCCTTCAGGGGTCCTTGTCCTTCCTCCTGGGAGCCTTTTGTTTGCCCTGAGTTAGTTCCTCCACCCCACCCCACCCCCAGCCAGGAACGTGCCTTTTACAGGTCAATAAAATTAGCGACTGTTGGGGGGTGGGCAGGGGCAGAAAGTGCTAAGCTCAGTGGCCTTGAATGTGACTGGACTCACGGACGCCTGTCATTCCAGTGCTAAACAGTGACAGCTGAGAGACCTGCGAGGGTGTCTGGGGACGGAGGGGGTGGCGGGCCCTGTGTTGCAAGGACAGAGGAAAAAGATGGACACCTAACATTGTCCAGAGCCTGAGTCTTTACGTGGCTGAGCCCTGGATGGGGGAGCTGACCTTTAGAGAAGGGGCCCTATCCCCACCCACCTTCAATTTTGCAAGAGCCTCAGACTAGGGGGAGGGAGGTTCCGGCAAGGCTATCTCGCTGCTGTGTTGGGCTGGGGTCTTCTGATGGAGTCAGGCTTGTGACCATCTGGATCAGGCTGTCTGAAAGAGGGAGTTTTAGAAGGTCAGGAGGACCCAAGTGTCCTAACCCTCAGGAAGTCAAGTGTGTGGTGGTTCACTGCCTCTTGTCCTGGCGCTTGGGAGGCTGAGGAAGAACTGATGTTAGCTGACTAGTTCAAGGCCTGAGTAAAACCTTGCCTTCAACAACAAAAAAGAAAGAAAAAAAAAAGAAAAAGAAAAAAGAAAAAAAGAAAGAAAAGAAAAAGAAGAGGAAGGAGGGAAGAATGGGAAGAAAGAAAGGAAAGAAAGAGAAAGGAGGCGAAAGAAAAAGGTAGGAGGAAAGGGGGAGCTGAGCCGGAGTGGTGGCACATGCATGTAATCCTAGCACCTGGAGGCTGGAGGACCAAGAACTCAAGGTAACCCTGGACTGCATAAGACCCTGTTTCAAAAGGGAAGTAAGGGAGAAAGAAGAAAAGAAACCGGAACTTCCAGTGACCCTGTTCTGGGCCCTACTGGCCACCTCAAGTTCATAGAGACTTCTCACTGCTAGGGCTGGGGTGGGACAAGAGACCCCGCCCCTCCCGACTCGGCCCCGCCCCCGGCCAGCCAGCCAGCCAGCCAGCCAGCCGGTGAGCCCAGAACCTCTGCGAAGCAAACCAGGCGAGAGCAGGTGGCCACCGCTGGCTCTGTCTCGTTCCTGCAGGTAAGACAAGCAATGCTGGCGGGTCCCCACTGAGGACCTCGAGGGCAGCCCGGGAGGATAAAGCAGCGCCTTCCCCTGCCCTCGTCTATAACCTAAGGGACCCCCAGAGACGTTCTCTGTCTGGGCTTGGTGAGCGAGAGTGTGTGCGATTAAACTCTGAGGAAGTTGAAAGGACCCACTGGCTGTACGTGATGCCGCCAGAGTCCGAGCGCTGGGGAAAGCAGCATCGGGTAGTAGATCCTAAAATGTTCTGGACAGCAGCAGGTGTGTGTAGGATGGGGGTTCGTCACCCCAAGTGTCCTGAATGGGTCCCAGGGCAGTCTCTTTCACAGATGTTTGGAGTGATGGAATGAACCGAAAGGTTTCTGTTCTGGGGACAAGTGAGGTGACAGCTGCTGCCTACTTGAGTGGGACCTGGGTTCTCTGGTGTCCCCGGGTCATCTGCGTTTGCACTTGGTATGGATGCAGCCTGGAGATGTGTGTATGAGGAAATACTGGCCCGGGCTCAGCAGGTTCATTCTGTCTTGTGTTTTGGAGTCAGGCTATGGAGACAGAGAGGAAGGCAGCCATGGGATGACCATACCCCCTCATGTGGGATTTGGACTTTAGGGTGGGGCTCTGTCTCCCAGGACTCCAGGGAAAGTTTTCTGAAAAAGGCAATCTGAGCTAACCCAGCTGTGATGCTGGGCTCCCTGAGCCACAAAGGAGAGACAGCTAGGGACCTCCTGGTCCACTTAAATAAAGCGAAGAGTCCTGGGGTGTGGAGCAGAGTCTTTGGGTAGACTGAAGTGGCGGCTAGGTGAGGGAATTTTTCATGGCCATCTAGATTCTCATTCCACAGTCTCCTCCCCAAACACCATCATCACTGTCAGTAAATTCTTCCTCAATTTGTGTGTGTGTGTGTGTGTGTGTGTGTGTGTGTAAGCATGCATGTGTGTAGGTGAAAGCCCAATTTGCTGGAGTTCATTATTGCTTTCCACCATGTATGTGGGTGCTGGGGAATTGAACTCTGATCTTCAGGCTTGGCAGCAAGTGCCTATACCTACTAAACCATCTCATTGGTCCTTCTCGCTCATTTCTGACCATCCTTTCGGGTTCTGGGATAGCTAGCTGCTTGCTTCTGGGAGGCGGTGAGTTATAGGAAAGGGGAACTTCGGGGTAGGTTAGCACTGAGTCCTGTCACCTCTACCTCTGAACTTGCTTCCTTACTTGAAACTGGGGATAAGGATAGAACCCACCTCATAGGGTGGCTACAGGGATTTAATGAGAAAACGTGTGAAGAGCGCTTAGCACAGTCCTGGCGCCTGGTGATGGCTCAACAGGTCTAAGTGTCCCCTCCCGGGTAGGACAGCAAAGCCGATCTGCAGGGGGTGGGGGCCGGGTGGAAATTTTTTAAAGCTTGTCCAGAAAGAGAGATGCCCGGCACTTCTCCCCTACCAGCCCCTGCCCCCTGCTGGTTCTCATTTCTGTGCTGTCCAGAACCCCTTACTCCTGGCTCTGTCGCCTTATTTCTGTTGTCTTTCATCTGCAGGGTGAGGCAGGAGCCAGGGAGCTGCAGGGGCCCGCTTGGGGCTGTGCCTAAATGGAACAAGCTCTGGTTTGGAGACCCAGCTTGACAGAAATTCCCTGTTGGCATCAGCTCCCTGCCCTCCCTGCCTCCAGAAATCCACAAGTTGGGATCAAACTGACTTGGGTTTTTCCAGGAAGATAAATAATCCTGCCTGGGGATTGTCCGAACTGCCCTCCAGTGGAGGGAGGGAGAGCATCAAGCCCTGGCTTTCTCTAGCTCTGGTGGCCATCAAAGAAGGCCAACCCGTGAGTACCCTTAAAATCCGGGCAAGGGAGGCAGTGCCCACATGCCCTAGCCTGGGTGCTTCCAAGCGCTCTGTTCTCAGTATCTTCTGTCAAATGTAGTCAGTGGGGCTGAGCATCAGGACCACACGCTCAGGGCTGGGGACACAGCTCGGTTGGCAGAGTGCTTGCCCAGCACACCATCTTACAGGGCCTGTGGCCGGAAGTAGACTGAGGCCAGGTGTCTGTATCAGCGGTCCTTGTGGTGCAGAGAATGTGGCTGCCCTGGCGGTGGGAAGGTAGCAAGGGCAGGGGTGGCTGGAGCCAGGGTGAGAAGGAAGCCACCTCTCTACGGTGATGTCATTCTGGTGTGAGACTTACCTGACAGGAAGCAGGAAAACCTGAACTTAAGCCTGGTCTCCTAGGTCACCTGGTATAG